TCCTAAAATTTCAATCTATGGAGACCTCATACTTTTCCATACTGATGGATTCATGTTGATGCTTGGTAAGTTAGGCCCAAGATCCAATCAAAATTACTATAAACGATTAATTCTCTTACTTTTAATTCTCTTACTTGTTGCAAGATAGGCTTAATTGACAACTCATATTACTTTTATTGGCAATTAAAAGAGGATTGCTTCTGCTTGAGGAATCAGGCCATGTTTCAAATCGAAGGCTTATCCTTGAATCGGATTGTTCTACTGCTTTGGAGTGGATAAAAATCCGGGTATTTGTACACCGCTGTTCGAGTCTTTGGTGAAAGACATTGCTTCTCTAGTGGTAGGACAGGATATTATAGTTAGGCATCTTTTGAGAGCTGCCAATTGGGAGGCGGATAAGTTGGCAAAAGATGGAATTGGATGATTCCAGTGTTGTGTATCTGGGTGTTTTGTGTTGTTTTGAGTTGTTTGTTTCAGGTCAGGGTGTTTTTATTTGTTTTGAGCTGTATGTTGTGAGTGGAGGGTGTTTGGAACAGGCTTTGTAATATTGTCCTATTAATAAAATTCTCAGGCACCCTTTTCCTCCTTCCAATGTCCTTCAGGTTACTGCTGTAACATGAAGGTTATGAAGGGGGTTTTTAATGAGGCCTCCATATATTTTCTATCAAAAAGTTTCGCACGTTACAATTACAATTAAGTAATCATATTTGAATCTAAAATCAATTAAAATTTCCTGCAATTAGGAAAGGATGTGATTCCCTACTATGAACATGCAAATATATATAAGAACTTACTTCCTTAAATCAGCATATGCTTCAGCCTTCTCAAGGGGAAATCCAGAGGAGTAAAATGCAATCAAACAATCACAGACTGGCCAGCTGAAACAAGCAACGTTATAAGGAATTATGAACTCTCAAATGAAATAAGTAATAGAAACAACGCAAATCTTGACCATTAAGAGATTGATATCAATAAGTACTTTCACTAGTAACACACATATTGATATATCGCTCTCACATCCTCGGACTTATTTCCCTTCGAAAATTATATAATATTTAAAGGGAAGGAGAAAGAATAAATACCGGACAATAAGAAGCAGCTCTTGTAATCATATAATCATCAGACTCAAACACCATCTTTCAAAGAAAAATACAAATTTCAAGGCACTAAATGAATAGGAAGAGAACAGCTGAAAGACAAGACTTCAAACTTCACAACATAAATGAAACCAGTCTATTTACTGCTTTCAACTGGAAATTTAATTTGCAAATCTGTGAGGGAGATCCACACCTCTTGTTTCTTATTCCTTTCCCCTTTCTTCTAAATAAAAAAATAAAAAATGATAAAGGGACAGAATACCAATTGTGAAAAATATAATCAACAAGATCATAATGTAAATCTGCAATAATGTGTTTCAACTAAATAACCAAAAGTGTACCTTTCTATCGGATCTTCAAGAATAACCTTATCACCAAAATAGAGAATCTACAAAAAGAGGGGGGGGGAAACATTCTATCAATAAGAAAAAACAATGTAACATTTTTCTTTAAATACCCGTGTTCAAGGCTCATATTTGATACATATGCATGGATGCGGGACATGACCATTGAAGTATCCTCCAAATACATGAACATGAAAAGAAAAAAAGTTCAAAAATAATTTAGAAAAAATTAAATACACAACATACCCATAACTGACTCTCAAACCCCAGTCAGTGTAACGTAGGCTGCACTATCACATTCATGCAAAAGCAAACTCCAGCATAGCATTACAAACACTCCAACAGAATTTACCAAGAAGAAAAGAGTATATTTTTTTATCACTGTAAATCATGATTATCCATTTACATTTTCACTAAACTAACTTATATGAGTACATCAAACTCCACTCAAATATATTATAAAACAATACTAATTCAGATTAATTTAAATTTAAGGCTCGATAGTTTTATATGATCCACCTCAAATTCGCCAAAAGCCTTAATCCTGTCCAGAATCTGTCTCATTGGAGCAGAAAAGGCCTGAAAAAGGAACAGAATAAATATTTAAAACTTAAAATTTAAGTACTAAAGCATAGCAATAAATGCTATATATCACTATATAAACCATTCATTCCTCCAAAAAACGCCTTTTTCAAAAACAATATCATAATTTCCATATATTTAGTAGAAAACTTAAGCAAACAAAAGAGACAAGGACCTCGCTTCCGCATTTCACCTTCTTTTCCATGACGCAAACTCCAACAATTATTATCTTCTCATATACTTCTCCTCCTCCTCCTTCTCCCATATCTTTTATCTCAACGAACAAAAAGAACACATCGATGGGAAACTCTTCTGCTACCGAACACCGCCAAGAAGCCAATCCGTAAACTTCCAGATAGTTATAAAGATCTAGGAAAAGAAGAAGACGGTGAAAACCGGGGAAACAAAAAAAAAACAGAGAATGCGATTCGGCGAAGAAAAAAGGGAACAAGGCGTAGAGTATGTGGAGAGAAAAATGAGATGGAGCGTTCAAAATGCCGAAAATAAATGAAAGATAGGATTAAAATGATATTTATAGATTCCTTTAAGTATTGGGGGATGGTTGGAGGCAAAAGATGATGGATTCTGGTATATTCAAGTGGGTGATGATTTTGATCTCCGTAAGGGACCTGCGATGTTTAAGGTTTTCCTTTTTCTTTTGGGTAAAATACATCAGACACACCAAATTTTATGTGTTGTATCGTTTATATCACTGAACTTTTAATTTTCTCAATTATAACACTAAATTTTGATTTTCGTTTCAATTATACCACGGGGCCGTTAAATCTTTAACAGCTGGATCAAAATGATGACATTTTAGTGAGGTGTCTATATCAGCAGTCGTAAGCCATGACATCATATCATTAACGATTTAACGGTTTATTGGTATAATTGAAACGAAAATCAAAGCTTAATGCTATAATTGACAAAATTTAAAGTTCAGTGGTATAAATGATATAACACCTAAAATTTGGTGGTATCTGATGTAGTTTAATCTTTTCTTTTTTTAAAATTTGGATAGATTAATGGATTAGTCACTTTTCTTTCGTATGTTGTACACTTATACTATCTAAATTTAAAAAAAAAATTATTTATATTATTAATTTATTAAATTTTGATAACTTATGTTATCGGTTATTATATTTTGATCAGCGAGTTGTTACTTCTGGTTAGTTTGATGATGTGTACCTCAGTCAAAAAAGAGTTAATTTTTCATTTTACTCTTGAACGTTATATGAAATATTAATTTGACCTTAAAATTTAGATACAGCATCAATTTTGACTGTAGATTTTACATAAAATATCAATTTGACCCCTAAAATCAACCAAAGTCTCATATCGCTACCACCACTCACCACAATCATCATCAGTTAGAATCGATTATCGTCATTGTCAATTGATAAGCAACAAAATTTAAAGTTCACTCCTTTTTGACATTCTAAATATGAATATAGTGTTCGTTTCATCGAAAAATATCTGTAACACAACAAAATCTAGTCTAAAACCCTTCGATTTCCTTTAAAATTAAACCATAATAATAAATTTATTATTAGTATTCCTTTAAAAAAATAGCATAAGAACTAAATTGAGGATTAAACTAAACTAAGAGAGGAATGAGTTATTAAGCCAAAATAAAAAGGTAGCTTTTCACCAACATATGTTGATTCAAGTAGTAAGCAGTTTAATATCATTTAAGTAAGGTCATCGCTTAAGTAATGTCTCAATTTCAAATTTTTGTGTATGTAGAAAATCTCTGTTGGGAGACTTACCCACTAAAATTGGATGTGCAATGCGAGTCGGCCTGAATAGTCAAGACGAAACTTTAGAAGAGGGAGAAAAAAAAAAGTTAGCTTTTCAAGTCTTAACCACGGCGAAATAATGGGCGTTGATAAAACTGTAGTCAACGGAAGTTGTTTTAAGGCATTGCATAGAATCTGACACTTCACCAACCTCTTCATTTCCTTTTTTTCTCTTTTAAAATTCATGAAACAAAACCCCATTAATTATCTGCTTGCTTAGTGCTTACTCATTTTAATTTAACGTGTAAAAGATGTTTTTACTTTAATTTCTAAAGCCAAAAAAAAAAGTGTCAACAGTGGTAGTAATCCCGTCAATTCTCTTTCAGATTCAGAAGCAAATAGTTAATGTTATGTAGAATATTCATAATCCCTTTTGACTCTTAGGCTTTTACAATGTGAAAATCGTGCCCAATATTGATTTTACCACTTTTCCAGTATGGAAGTTCTGTATAAGGGTGTAAATGAATAGAATGTTAAGTAAATTGTTTGTGAATCGTTCGTATAGTGTTCATTTATGTTCATTTGTGAAGTTAAATAAATGAATATGAATAAATTCTTTTATGTACAATTAATAAACGAATGAACACAAGTAGAAGTGTGTCCGGTTCGCTTATGTTCACAGACAAGCTCGTTTACCCGGTTCTCCTTTTCCTTTTATTTTTTTTACATTTTAAATATTGGTGAAGGTAGAGATTAAATTGAACACATGGTAAAAGTTAAAATTTAAATTGTAGATTTTAAGGAGTTTAAGCATTAGTGGTGTAATTTTACTATTTTCTTTTTCTTGTAGATAAAAGGTTAAAACTAAAAATTGAACATATAAACGAACGATAAACGAACATGTTCGTGAACGCTAAAGGAACATATTCATAAACATACAAACGAACACATTCACAAACATTAAATGAGCATGTTCGTGAACAATAAATAAACAAACATGAACACCTTCAAAAATAAATAAACGAACATGAACATGAATCAAACATGAACACCTTCAAATATAAACAAACAAATACAAACATAATTTTGTTAGTTCAAGTTCGGTTCATTTACACCTTAACTCCCGCCTAAATAGTGTTGCTACAAAGAAATGCTGTAAACAATAACTTGTTTAAGAAATAAATCACAAAATTAGTTATTCTAAACTAGTTTATTATCCCCTCCTTGAGAATCAAATTATTATAGTTAAAACGTGTAATACAAGTTTCACGAGATTCAACAAACACAAGAAAAAAACTTCAAAAAAACAGGATCCTTGTTTTTTCTCTAAGATGAAATCGAAAACATGAACACCATAACATGCTTATAATCTTTTCCAGGATGAATAATAGTGGAAGGAAAGTTTGGATGATTAACAGAATCTGGAAAAGCTCGAGTCTCCAAACACAAAGCTCCAAAGGGTTGATAAACATATCCACCTTTCCCTTTCACGTCTTTCAGGAACTTAGCTGAATAAAACTGAACACCAGGTTGATTGGTAAACAGCTCCATCACTCTCCCAGATTTATTATCTTTAGCCATGGCAGTTTTCTTCAGCTTTCCAGGAACACCATCAATGACATAGTTGATGTCGTATCCCTTTGTAAGTTTGTTGATTCGGCTTCCCACAATGTGGGGTTTGAGGAAATCATAAGGTGTTCCTTTTACGGTGGCGATTTCGCCTGTCGGAATGAGTTGGCTGTCGACCGGAGTGTAGCTTGAAGCGAATATCTGGACTTGTTCTGATAAGATGTCGCCACTGTTGTGGTTGACGAGATTCCAATACGTGTGTTGGACTAGGTTCACTGGTGTGGCCTTGTTTAGAGCTTTAGCTTTCATCTTGACAATTATCAGCCTGTTGCCTGGATGAAGGGTGTAGGACACAGTTACCTCCAGTGCACCAGGAAATCCTATGAATTATACAAAGAAATGAATTATAAGATTTTTTTTAAACAAAACGAAGTAATAGGATGATTAATATCATAGATGATTAATATAATTGATGAATTGAAAGTTTGGATGGGAAAAAGGAAGTGGACTGACCTTCTTCACCATCGTAGCTGTGATATGCAAACACAATGGAAGGAGCATAGCCATCTTTCTTGTACATCTTAACTTTCCACACAACATCACTAAATCCAACAAGACCACCTAATGATAATGATTTTAAAGAGAGAAAATTAAAAACATTGCTAAACGTGAGTAATTAAGATGAAAAATGAAGGATTAATGTACCATGAAGCATGTTTTTGCCTTCATTGGGGACCAATTTGTAATGGAGTCCGTTCAAAGTGAACTGAGCCCCTGCTATTCTGTTAGCAACCCTTCCAACAATGGAACCAATATACGATGTATCATTCTGCAAAAAAAAAAAAAAAAAAAAAACAATTCTTCTGTATGAAAAGAGGACAAACACGGATGAACATGATGAAAATCTCTCCTAAGATTTTCCATGTACTCCTTGACTGAATCATATCCCAGAACAATATCACCCAAAAAATATAAATACTCTTGAAATAAGTGATTATTAATAAAAAACCAAAACTTTAAAAAGAGTTCTCCACTGGTTACAACTTGAAGTTCTCAAGTTTCGGAGAGAAAATGGAAGTGCTAGAGTTTAAGAGAAACTAACCATATTTGTCAGGGAGGATCACGGAAACAATAGTTGCTCCACAGTTGATGAATTTAACAGACATATCACCTTTCTTCAGCTCATATATCCCAACCTTCTCCTTTGCTTCAGAGCCATTGATAAATGCGTAAGCTACTATTATGAACAAAGAAAACAAGAAGAAAGATATCCTAGCCATGTTTTGGAACTCGATGAAACGAGGTTGATGAGTTCCTAAGGTTATTTATAGGAATAATAAGAGGGAGGTTAATTCTTTGTTTAGATAAAGATGACAATATAAACAAAAACAGAAGAAGGGTTATAAAATATTATGCAAATTGTTTCTGGCTCATATTATTCAAATTTTAGACTTTTTACGATAGTTTACTACTGACAGACTGGAAATATTAGTTTTTGGCAAATTATGAATATTCTGATCATTCATGAACCAATTAACCAAAGGCTTTTAGCTTCATCATGGTTTTAGGGTTCATAATTAGCAAGTAATGACGAAAACATTAGATGGGATTATAAAGACCCTTAGCTAGGATCTGAAGTTTTCAAGTTTAATCATTAAAAAAAATGAGCTTGCATTGCTTGTGAGTTGTGATACCTAAAGAGCAAACAATTTAAGAAACTGGGACCTAATTTATTTATTTTTGATTAACCACAGTATCCGGATTGAGTATTGCTGAGGCTTATTATGAAGTTAACTCTTCTAACTTAGCATATTTCATTCACAACGTCAAGATTATTAGAAATCAAGTCAAAACATATAATTTTGAACTAACTACAGGTTGTATATATGGATAGATGTATAGTAAGCTAGGTTTCTGAGACGTGGATGCTACAAATGCGCATTTTTATTAGCTTTGTACAGGTAACTAAAAAAGGATCATGCATGATAATATTGGAAGGCGTTGATTCCATGTCATGTTCAGTTTCAACTTTGAAGCCTTAGATAATGCATTGACCACATGGCCAACTTGCATTTACAAATCATATTGTTCATTCTTCAAGGACAACTCCAAGACAAACGACAAAAAGATAGCCACGAAACAACTAATTCGTGGGGTCAGATTTAAACCTTTTTAAGGTTACCATCTTCCACTAATGGAATGGCTGCTGCCCTTCTTGCTATAGTAGAAATCCTTCTCTTTTATTTATAATACAACGTGCCTTATTACTGCACCAACTGAAGCTGATTAGAAGCCTTGGCTGCAACATGGCAACATGTTAGTTTGTACTGACTGCTTCAACCACTGATGTAATACCCCAAGCATCGGGTCATTGACCGAAATATAAGGATTAAAAATTTGGTGGTTTAATTTGAATTAATTAAAAAGTTCAAGGACTGATTTTGAATTTTTTGTTTAGAACTTGTTATCAAAGATTGAAGAAGAGAAGGGCATTATGGTCTTTTAGCAGAAAATAAATTTAAAATTCATTTTTAAGAGATATTTAGCATGTGAGGATAAAGGAAAGGAAGAAAAATATGGAAGCTTGGTTTTCTTCTTCTTTTCTTCACCGTAACCTCTATTGCTAAGGTAAGATAAGTTTCAAGTTGGTTATTTTATTTTATGTTTGGGTTGTTTTGAAGCTTTGAGTGATATAGAAGCTTAAGGAAATCTTAAGGATGAATAAAACTAAGAGATTAGTGAATTAATGATAAATTGGTGAAATAAGTTTTTAAGGGATTTGATGGGATTGATTGGTAATTGGGTTTTTAATGAAATATTTGACTTGTCAAGGGTCAAATTAAGGCAATTGAAGTCTTAGAAATGATTAAGAACATGTTTGAAGATTTGGTATGATTCTTAGTTTTAAGTGTTTCATGGAGAATTTTGAGATGTTAAAGAGGATTAATGGATACAAGTTTTGTGGTTGAGTTTAAGGACTTGAATGGAGGTAAGAGTAAGAGATTTAGGTGAAATTTGGGTAAAATACGAAGTGAAATAAGTAAAATCTGGGTAAGGGTATCGGTACTGGAAGAACAGTGCTGATACTATAAGGTTAAATTGAAGGAAATAGTATGAATATGGTGAACAGTGTCGATTGTAACACCCCAATTTAGGGGCTAAATTTTAAGAAATTATAATATGGTAAATTTAATTGGTATTTTGGAAGAAAATGAGGATTAAATTGCAAAATTTCAAAGTTGGAAGACCATGTTATAAAGTGCAGAAAATTCAGTGGCTAAACTTATGGTTTACCCATTTTTCTTTTTGAGATATTATAAACCCCCATCAGACGCATATTTTTCTGGAAAATTCCAGTTTTCCTCTTCCCCTCAACCTATTTTTCAACTCCGATCTACTCGCCGTCCGACCTCCGATCGACGAACCGAAACCACCATCGTGTTCGTTGTCAACCGAGGATCAAAACCCCTCAAACCTTTCGTCGTGAATCATTGTCGTTCGTCATTAATTTCAGTCGAAAGTATCGTCGGTAATAACTCGATTTTAGTTGGTTTTTCATCGATTCACGATGATCGGGTAATCCGTTTACGACACCTCCCGCACCATCGCGTTCCTTGCATCGTTCCGAGTCTGTCGGTGTCATCCTTGGTCTCCGTCGACGGCGGCGCGTGAGGAGGTGAAGCGATCAAAGTTTCCGACGTTTTGGAATCGAGCTCTCCGCCGTTCAAAATTGTGAACCGATCTTTGTAAGTGCCTCAAAATCGCTTAAAATAATTTTTAGGAATTTTTCCGGGAATTTTCCGACACGGGGTTACTGTTCACGCGCCGCACGCGCCACCACTTGAGAATGGGCTTCGTCTGGAAGCCTGAGGAGCCGTTTGAGCCGAGCCGCTTGAGCTGAGCCGAGCCGTTTCAGCCGAGCCGTTTGAGCTGAGCCGAGCCGTTTGAGCTGAGCCAAGCCGAGCCGCCTAGATCGAGCCGTTTATTGTTGACCACCGTTGACTGACGTTGACTACAGTTAACCAAAACGTTGACCAGCTTTGACCGGCATTAAACGACATTTGACTTCGACCGAGTATACCTATCTTGATAGTTTTCGACGTTCCAAATCCGATTCCGTAATCCGTTTTCCAAAATTCGGACCCGAAGGCCTCGATATTGCCGGTCAAACCCGTTGACTTTGATTTTGACCGAAAATTCCAAATTTTCGAAAAGTCATACTTTATGCTTTCGACGTCTTGAATCCGAATCCGAAGTCGATTTCGCCAAATTCGAACCCGGTAAGCTATTTTGACTAATTTATCACCCGATTCGATCCATTTATCGCAATTAAGCTCCGTTTCTGATATAATTTATGTTGATATGTATCTGAGGAATTATTTGAAGTTGAATTGAAGATCAAAGGCATTCGAATGGAATTTTATGGTCGATCGGTATTGCACAGAAATCGAGGTAATACTTTACTACCTCTTTATGCTTTATGAAACATGTTGATATTGGTAAATGCATGGATAAGATAATGTTGGTCACTTTTGTGGAGTTGAATAATTTATACACTCGATATGAATGTGGTAGAAATTCAGTAACTGAATATGGATCGAATGACTAATATAAGAGATTGAAAGATTGTTAGAATTAAATTACAAGTTGTGATTTGTGATAAAGAAATTGGCCATGGATTTGTAAATTATATTTTATATCATCAAAGGTTAAATGTTAAAGGTACTTGGATGAGAAATTATGAGAATACTCCGGTAGGGTAAATTCTGAAAATACCCTTATATTGTAAGATGACAAGAATTGTCCTTGGAAGTTGGTTAATAACTCTGAAAAGATATATTGATTCGGTAAAATTTCATATGTGCATAAGAAATGCTAGTTTTGCTTAGGAAATACGGATAACCGGTTTTTAAACCCGAGGGTTTGTGCAAGATACTAGAAGTCGGTTAAAGAATCATTTTAAGATCAAAGAATGTTTGGGAAAGCAATTAATATAGGATCTCCAAATTATATTATTTTTGTTAAGAGTTAATACCGAAATTATCTGGTTAAGAAATTACGAAATGCCCTTGAGAGGTAAAATAGTCCAAGTTGACTCTGAATGAGAGAGTAACCTGAGAATTTGTTTTTAAATCGATAAATTACTGATTTGGTTGTTGAGATCCTACCTTTGTATGGAAAATTTTCTGAAAATTCGTTAGTAACATTTGAAAAGACATTTAACCTGGAAATTACCGAATTGAGTAAATACCTGAAGAATGATTTATCGAATGTGTTATTGGTCAGAATTGTTTGAAAGGACTGAAGTAAGTGATAAGATTAAATTAAATAATAAGATCAGACGTAAGGAAATGATGGAAATACATTGGATCTGTAAAATGACCAAAATACCCCTGGAATGGAAATGACTCAAGAATGTCACCAAGCTCATGAATGAATGGATATACTCAAAGCTTTGTAATGAATATAAAAACGTTGAGAACCAAAATGCCCTTATGACCTAGAATAAGTAAATGTCTTGGATTAATTAAGAAATCCAAATAAACATGGATGTTGTGCTACCAGTAAAAGTTATGGAACGCAACTTAAGTGATCAACCAACGCTAGTGCTATATCATTACCTGAATGATATAATTACCACTTGAATGTTTGTTCGTCTTCTCAAATTTGGATCGATGATAATTCTGGAAGTACTTGGTTCAGCTCAACTTTAGAGTGCATACAGTACTAATAAGTGGGTATTCGTGAGATAAATCAACCACGAATACCAGAATGACTTTATTATATGACTAAATTGAATTGAAAGGGAGTGCAACATGTATTTGAGATTCAGAAATGTCTGAACTATTCTGGAAAACTCTAAAGTAATCGGGATAACTTGCTTACTAAATGAACTAAGTAACCTCAATGACCGAGGATTAAATAGGTGATTGGATGAGTTTGGAAACATTGTATGAATTGTCCTTATGGGTTATGAACATGAATCAAGTACGTCCATATTTTCTGATATCGTTGAAACATGGAAATGTAATAAAGACCGTTGGAAGATCTATTCAGCGATAATTATGGGGATGATCTATTGATATGCATTTTGGTATTAAAGAGTGAATGCATTGGAAGGATAATGAATTGATTTGTTGACATGCATCAGTCTGTGAGTTGTGTAACTTGAGTTGTTTGATAATACTATCGATAGTCATAGATCGTAAATGACTTGAATCTTCGATTACATATTTTGATCTAAAATCAATTCGGTCATGTTTGAAAACGCAAGTAACGCAGAAGGAAAATATTCTGAATACCTCATTTGGTAC